GAAAGTGGCATTCAAAAAAGAGCTAGAGTATTGAAAACTCCCATTTCCACCATCAGGGCAATAATTAAGAATTTCCAATCAACTAAAAATGTTACAAACCTTCCTGGAAGAGGACCTGTGTCTATATTGTCCTAATGCACGGTGAGGTGGAGCGTTTGAGCGGTTAAAGGCTCTCCAAGGACCACAGCTGCAGAATAGCAGAGATTAGTTGAGTCTTGGGGTCAGAAAGCCTAAAAAAAAAGTCAAACAGCACCTACATCACAGACGTTGTTTGGAAGGGTTTCAAGAAAAAAAAATCAAGAAAAGAAAATGCTCTCATCCAAAAACAAACTCCAGCATATTAATTTGCCAGACACTACTGGAACTTCAAACAGGACTGGGTTCTATGGTCAGATAAAACAAAAAATTAGCTTTTTAGCAGCAAACACTCAAGATTTGGTAAAAAAGTACCCTATGTGTACAATGAAATATACTGCTGGATCTTGATTTTTCTGCCTGAGTTCCTGGACATCTTGTTTAGATGCATGGCATTGTGGATTCTATCAAATAGCAACAGATAAAAAATTTAAAACTGACTGTCCATGCTAGAAATCTTATAATGGGCCATGGTTGGATCTTACAACAGGACAATGATCCAAAAACAAACACAAAATCAAAGCAAAAATGACGTGACGCCTAAATTTTCTGTCCGATTGCATTTTTTCAGTTAAAAATTGGTTTAAATGCATAAAAAATATGCCATATATATGAAGGACCTCTCCCATGTATGAACTCACTTTTTTCTGTTATTCAAAGTGTCAAACTATCATGTGGTGCGACCGTCCGGCCATAACTTTTTTTTTTATTGTAAACATCTTTGAAATGACCCTAAATTTATTCAAATTAATTGTATGCACTATTTGGTTCAAAGTGTCAAACTATCATGTGGTGCGACCGTCCGGCCATAACTTTTTTTTTATTGTAAACATCTTTGAAATGACCCTAAATTTATTCAAATTAATTGTATGCACTATTTGGCGTGATTTCCAAAGTGTTTTGTAATCCTGTGTAAAATTGCAAAGCATTTGTATTTATATTTCCATCATAATATAAAAACAAACTTTGTCCGATGATGTCCGTTTTATGAAATATCATGTGGTGTGGCCATCAAGAAACTACCGTTTTGGGACTTTTATGTTGAAATCCATTCAAAGATAAGACTTTGCATCATATACTAATTTGCTAAGGACCCATGGAAGCATCAAGCAGGTTTATAAGTGTCTTTTCAAATTTGGAAAAAAATTACCTTTTTAACGGCTGGTATGTAGTTACCGTATTTGGATATCATGTGGTATGACCTCAAAAAACAATGAATATTAAGTTATTTCTGCAAGTATTTATTTTCGTTATAAATGTCATAGTGACCTTTTGTGGGAAGCTAGCTTGTTTTGTATATGTGGCCAATTCTGTGCTTGTAAATTTTGACTGAATTTGAAAATATCATGTGGTGCGACCACTGCAGAGTGTATTCCATTATAGATATATGTCCCAGATTGGCAGTTTTTGTGCTTTTATATTCAATTGATGGTTTAAAATATCTTATTTTAGTATAATTTGGAATAGACTTTTATGCAATTTGGGTCATTTCAGACGGTTTGTTTAATCTTTGTACAATACGAGAAAAAATGCACACACAAAAAAAAAAATCGGCGCTTGTAATTTTAGTTTAGTAGTTATGCATTTATTAGTAATTTATTTATATATTAAATCTATATTCTGCCAGATTCCACTGCCAAGCAAAGTAAAATAAACGCTCGCCATAGGCAGCATGTTAATTCTGACCCTGCACTCTAGCACAAACTCCAGATGTCATTTTCTACTATAAGAAAGATGTTCATGTTATCTCGGAACCTGAGCCAGCAACCTCCCCCTACTCTAAATTGACCTGCCCCCCTTAGTTACTGTTGCTACGTCCGACAAACCATGGCACTTTTATGCCATACATCATGTTCTCACGCATTGAAAAATACATCACGGAGCAAAGAGGACACTGACAATGAGCTGACAGACAAGACAGAGCTGGTTACTTTTAGTATGAAACAAAGTGTCAGTGTTCAAATTTTCCTTTTTATTTTTTTTTTAAAGAAATTCAAACAACAAATACTGTTTTGTGGCTCTTTAACGTGTCGTGACAGATCGCTGTAACGCCTCGGTTCAAGCGGCACATGAACTGATCATCTCTTCATCTTTACTATTCATAGCACAAAATAAACATGAATGAACATCAAAAGGTATCTTGTTTCAACCGTGAAAATATGTCAATACACACCATTTTTCAAGTTCAAGTCCACCGACGTTAATCTACTCTCCTGTCTGGTTTGTTTGTCGGACAAAAATGACTACTATATAATGGCGTTATAATATGTAAGACTGCCTGTTAATCAAACTCCTGGCGAAAGGGTCAATTGAGCAGCCAATATTGGGCAAAGTGCAGAAAGAAATGGGGCTAAAGAAATGACTGCAGTTAATGCCACATGCTGCACTTTTCACACGTCTCTTTAAATAGATTTTTAATGATATAAGGTCTTTGTGTCATTTGGAGCAACCGCTCATCATGTGGTGCGACCAATAATAGCAATAACTGTATTAAAAATAAAATACCTAATTTCTTTGGTTGAAATATGAATCACTGCTACAGTATGCTTAAGTGAATGGTATTTTTAAAACATTTTGATCAGTTTTATACAATTTACAGGAAAAATAAGTGTTAACTACATTTAAGAAAGCAACTCTGAAATTATAGAACAAAAATAAGAGATCATTATTTACAAAAATTCAAATTAAATGCAAATACTTTTTCTAAACACTTTAATTACTGGGAACATTTTTAAAAAATGTTAAGGAAATTATTTAATTTTAATGTAAATCATGATCGCACCACATTACATTTTTTAAGGCCAATTCATCTCGATGAAAAAACACATCACTTCATTTTAATATGAATTTACGTGTACACAACATTCTTAATGTTTGAACAATTACAATAGATTTTATTATTTTTTGTATTTTAAAATGGACCTGTCGAAAATCCTTATACGTCAGTGACCCATATACATGTTCATTTAATAAAAAGCAGTAAGTGATCACTTGGTCTAGATTTTTTTTAACTGCTTAAATTTGCACTAAACATTTTCTATTTACTTTGTAAGAATAACTTCTATCTAAATAGTTTGCTGTTGTTTTTTAATGGGGGCAAAATAATATATATTTTTTTTATTATTTAAAAGCAAATGCAAACATATCAAGATATATAGAATATCGTAAAATGTAACAATATCGAGAATTTTTTTTTTTATATCGCCCAGCCCTAGTATCGGTGATCGGTATTGACAGATACTGCTTTCTGTGATCGGTGATCGGCCTCAAAAATCCTGATCGGAGCACCCCTAGTAAATAAGGGTGACATCTAGTGGAGAAGACTAATTATAAGATTGACGTTAATTAGATCTGGTTTTAAATGTGTGCTGAAATAAAAACTGGAAAAGATCGATTCATTCATTCCGGCGTAGTAATCAAGGAACTTTGCTGCCGTACCATAGGCGCAATGATATTACGCAGCGCCTGAAAATAGTCCACAGCTTGTAGGTTATGTTGATGAAAGTTAGCCTATTTTCAGGCGCTGCGTAACATCATTGCGCCTGCTGCGCACCCATGGTACGGCAGCAGAGTTCCTTGATTATTATGCCGGAATGAGAGTATAGTTCCTGGCCATATCGGCCTAGAAAATCGCAACTTTTCATTTTCAGTCGGTCTTAGTACTACATGTAACTACAGAAGAGTCAAGTTTTAAATAGGAAAAATATAGAAACTCTTTGGTCATTTTTGAGCGAGATGCTAACGGTCTAGCCAGATTCAATGAGCTATGCTAAGCTGCAGCTAAAAGTGCTACCGCCAGACCCGGAGATCGGCTGAATAGATTCGAAAACAGTAAAACTCATCTGCTTAACTATAGGGGAGTTGGAAAATTAGCCTATTTTCAAAAATAGTGAAGTGTTCCTTTAACAACAACAAACACCAGAGAGCAGCAAAATTATAGATTACTTTCACTAAAACACAGCAGAAAAAAAAAACAATGCTGCAAATATAGTTATTTTTTTTACTTGTTACTATTACCATTTATCTATAACCTTTTCAAACCCGATGTGACAAAACATTTCTAATCTACATTTAGCATTATTAATCTGTAGGCTAAGAACATTTCAAAAGAATCATGTAATTATAATTGGGTAATTGTTGTTAGATGGCTGCGATGGAACTTAAATGTTGAAACTGCTGGTTATCTTTTCTGTTCAAGATGTTAACGTTTTGATTATTGTAACTAGGGATGTCAATTTTCAATCATTTCCATGATCGATCGTCATTTAAATTAACGATCAATTAATCGTTAACTAAAATGCGTCTATTGCAGTGGCACGCAATCACCGGCATGACAGGATGTGCAAAAGCCACTCAAAAAAAAAAGGAAAAAAAAAAAAAAGGAGATCCGCTTTTTCAACCGAATTAAAGGGGTATTAGTCTGAATAATTACTAATAAAGTAGCAGGATTGTAAAATTAATAGATGTGATTGATCATTTTATCAAATGAAGAGCGTGCTGTATGTTTGAGATCATTACAAGTTGTAGGAATGAATAGCCTATCTGTCCTGTGTCCCGCAATCCTGCAAAGCGCAGACCCCGATATGAAACAATAATCTGGGGAAATGACTTGTGAAACAATAATATGGGGAAATGACTTGTGAAACAATAATCTGGGGAAATGACTTAGTTACTACATTTCTATTGCTTTCCATGTTGAAGAACTTTGTGTTGTTTCTATTTGAATGTACTTTTAAAGTTTAAATCACATTAAAAGCTTAATTTGAACATTATGAATATATAAAACACATATACATGTTCAGTCAATCCATGATAAACCACGTAATTTGACTTGGGATGTTTCTTTGTGTCTTGTGTTTCTTCAGGCTGCCCCCTGGCACAGTGGTAGGTGGGTGGTGTGGAGCTGGCCTCGGCACCGGGAGAGGCCCCCTCGCCCGCCCCCTCCCAGCGCTGCATGGCTGCAATGGCGCCCGCTCTGACCGACACTCCGGCCGAAGCTCACCGCATACGCTTCAAACTGGCTCCGTCCTCCTCCACCCTCTCCCCGAGTGGCGTGGAGGGAAGCGGTACCGGCAACCACATCCTCGTGTCCAGTAACGGCGCCGTCAAGCGCAAGGCCTCGGAGGAGCGCCCCTCTCGCGGGGCTGGCCCCTGCAAGCCCATCGTTACCTCATATCACTGTTCAGATGTGTCCTTGGCAAAAGAGTCCCTGAAGCTGCAAGGTGTTCTACTGCAGACACACAACATCCTGCCGAGCCTCATACCACGCAAGCACCAGGCTTTAGAGCTCTCCGAGGAACAGCCAAAGAGCATCATGAGTGCCAGTGGAGGAGGTGGACCATGTGGGCCACCCACAGTTAACGGCATAGCAAAGAAAGTGACTAAACCAACTGACCGAGACAAAGAGGTGACCTTAAATGGTGGCCAACATACCGTCGAGCAGGATTTGTCAAATCAGACTGAAGTTGTCAATTCTACTGTGGGACTGACAAGCAACGGTCCTCTACGAGAAGCTGCAGAGCGGCACCAGCTGTCAACGGGTGAGTCTCAGAACTGTCCCAGTAATGGAGCACCTCCTGCAACATCTCCAACCTCCAGCGCACCTTTCACAGAAGACAAAATTTCGGACTGTCCGGCATTAGGCAGTGAAGATATGTTGGCGCTCTCGCTTGCTACCCGCCAAGACCCTTTAGGTGGCCTTGGGCCGGAGCTAAGCGACCGTACTCAGCACAGCCAGAGCAGACAAAGGGAGATCGAGGTGCGGCTATGGCGATTACGCAAACGGCTGCAGGTGGTGCAGGCCAAGCAGGTGGAGCGGCATGTGCAACAACAGTTGGGCGGTCTACTCAAGAGCACACTGGGTGCTCTGGATGCCAGGCGGCCGAGGGGCCATCACAGCGATGACTCTCTCACCCCTCAGGAGAGGGACGGACTAAGACGTTTCCTGAAGAGTGGATCCATGCCGGCTGAGTTAGAGCGACTGTCCCTGAGCTGCACCACCAACCTGCGATCTGCCGAATGCGCATTCGATTCCGATGCCACGGAAAGCAGCTCAGGAGGAGAAACTGATGTGGAGGAAGATGAACTGGCTCGGGTCGACATTGAGCAACGCCACATTCCTCTGTGAGTACCAACCTTGATTATTTCTCAAATAATGCAAATCTAGATAGTTTGAGGATGAAGTAATGAGTATGATGGTCAGGGTTCCCACGCGCCCTGGAAAATTAATGGCTAATTTTCCAGTCCTGGAAAACACATGGTAAATGAGAGAGAATTTTAAGTGTCCTGGAAAATCTTGTTGTTTTCCTGCAAAATTATTAAAAAAAAAATACTTGAAACAGTTAATGTTAGAAGTTAACAGAGGCCAGAGATGCTGAAGACAAACGCAAAGGGGGGAAAATACTGTAGCAAACTCACTGTGCACAATGCACGAAATATTGGAAGAAAATCATAATATTGAATTAGAGATGGGGGTCTATATAAATGTATCTCTGATGGGAGCTGATTGTCTTCAGAAAAGTTTAGATGTTTTTTTTCATCATGCCTCTGTATAATGCACACTGAAGTAGTGTTTATAAGCGCTGCACTGCTTTGTTTACAGCGGTAACCAAGGAAACGCACTATCACGCTGTTCCAGAAGCACCACCTGCTGTCAGAGTGTCAATTTATGCTCTCATTCAGCCTGTCTGCTGTTTTTGTCTCGTTCAGATATGTTTTATGTAGCATAATTTCATAAGATGAAGTTACATCTAGAAAATGCATCTAATTTAAATAAAAAACTGCTCATGCAGTATGTAGCATCTTTGTTTGGATCGTGATTTAAAATGCAGTGCTTCTCATTTTAAATGGCATGAAAGTTTGGCTTGTAATAGAGCAAGAGATTCTATCTCATCTCTTGCTTTTAAAAAAATGAAATATATAATAATCGGAATCTGCCCATTTGCTTGTAAAAAAAAAATCGGAATCAGCGATGAAAAATCAAGATTGGTATATCATTACTGACTTTTGACAGTGTGAACACTGATGCGTTTCCCATCGTTCTATCCAATGGTCCGCTTAAGAGAAGTATTTTGAATGATTCTGTTTAGTCTTGTGGTGAATGTTTGGAGTTAAGTGGAAAGCAGCTTTGCTAACAGTAGTTCAGTAACTTGTTGACTAATTATTTTGATTATTGTCTTAAGTAGGATATTATTCCTTATGTACCAAGTCGATACTGAAATTTAAAAATGTAACAATACTGGCCTTTCTGCAGCACTGGTATACCAAGTACAGACTCAATGCTGTACTCGCTGATAGGCCTCTGCTTTCAAACACTTCCGTGCATGTTTATATCACTTTCCGCGAACAGCGATATGCAGTGGCCTGTTGGAGGTGTTTTAGTCAGAATCCACAAATTTTTCGCTTGTCCCTTCTACAGCATAATTAATGATTTATTTATTTTTTATTTTCAAATAGTTAAATACTTTCAATATTTTGTTTGCCATATTACTGAAATTGGCTCTGAAAATAATTTGTTGAAATGTATAATTGAAAGCTCATATTAAAGAGCTGATTTTATAAGTCATGGCCATACATTGTAAGTTTTTAAAGACTTTTGGAGAGATAAATATATTACTTTAGGGTGTGTTCTAGGGCTGCACAATAAATCTAAATGGAATCGAGATCGCGATTCGACAGAAGCTGCGATTGTCATGCCTATCAGTGAAGCATGGTTCTGTGATCAGCAGTAAAGCTCCATCCAAAGGCCAGAGGGCGCTCTCGCGCTGAAACTCCAAATACGCCTCGCAGAAGAAACCCAGAAAATGGCTATCGCTGCAGCTGAATAAACAGAAGATTCAACTGCTTTCATTGATTCAACGTGACTAATAAACACACGACTACGGCAATATACTGTTTATCTGAGTTCTTATTATTCTAATTTTCATTAAAATAAAGTATATTTATAATGCAATGCCTTTATCACTGCTTAAATACTATGAATTATGTTGCGTGCCTTATTCTGTGTAAGAAGCCACATCATCTCACAGAAGGATTTATTTCAAACACTCGACTGACGTTATGAAGTGAGTTTGGAGTAAAAATGTTATTAAATGTGGTATTTTCACATGCTTTCAGATGGAGCAGCATTTACTTCACAGAGCCGTAGTTCACTGAGAAGCTATGCAAACAGCTGTCATTATCGTGAACGATTTCTTCGATTTCATAATCGCGCAATAAAATCGTCTGCAATTTATTTATTTATTTTTTTTGCGTAACTTGTGTCAGTGAACTATGTGTAGTAAATTCTGCTCCATCTGAAAGCACGTGATGATGATTTCCTGCTGATTACAGAACCGGCATTACTATCAAAATGCGCATGACAATCGCATTCGATTAATCGTGCAGCCCTAGTGTGTTCCTTGTCTTTTATTCCCATTTTTAATTAAATTAAAAGTGTCCTGGAAAAGTCCTCGGAAGTCCTGGAAAACGATCACTGAAAAAGAGTGGGAACGCTGATGGTACATTTCTGATGTAGGATAAGTGCTGATGCAGGCTGGGTCAAGCTGTTTCATGAAACCATTGCATTCTTGCATGGTAATTATCCATGATGCGCAAATGCTATTGAACGATTGTAAATTATCAGTGAGTGGCTGTTGTTCATCTCTGTTCATTTGTAAGTGTTGATTTGTTCTCTTAAATTTGAGATGATGGTGATTGCTTTTGTTACAAAGGAATTATCTTGATGATGATATATGTTTGTCTCTTGAATATCATTACCATCCTGGTTAAACAAGGACAAATGGCCGCACTCTCTCTAACACACACCAAGCCAGTCGTTCCCTTCCCAAGGGCTGAGCCTTATTTTAATACACTCAAATGTCAAAGGATTTTTCTTGAGAGACAGTGCGCCACTTCCTTAAATCCATACGCACACTTTCTCAGTCAGTTATTGGGCCTGTTTTCATCCATCCCAACCTCCGGGTAAGAACACAACATCCTTTCATTGTTTTACATTTATTTGTTTTTTTTTGTACCACTTTTCCAAGTGAGTGGCTGTTGTTCATCTCTGTTCATTTGTAAGTGTTGATTTGTTCTCTTAAATTTGAGATGATGGTGATTGCTTTTGTTACAAAGGAATTATCTTGATGATGATATATGTTTGTCTCTTGAATATCATTACCATCCTGGTTAAACAAGGACAAATGGCCGCACTCTCTCTAACACACACCAAGCCAGTCGTTCCCTTCCCAAGGGCTGAGCCTTATTTTAATACACTCAAATGTCAAAGGATTTTTCTTGAGAGACACTTCCTTAAATCCATACGCACACTTTCTCAGTCAGTTATTGGGCCTGTTTTCATCCATCCCAACCTCCGGGTAAGAACACAACATCCTTTCGTTGTTTTACATTTATTTGTTTTTTTTTTGTACCACTTTTCCAGTATTCTTATTTTTGCAAGGAAAGTAATCCTCTTTTCAAGGAAGATGTAGATAATTGATAAAAGCTTGGCACGAGAAGATGTATAGCTGTGATAAATTCCACTTTTGCCTAATTTTGCTCTACTTGGTGTACATTTAAAAACTCTTTTGCTGCATCATTGTAGTTGGATAGTGTCTCAATAGAGTGGGGGAACTATGACGTCAGAACCCGGAAGTGTAATTCGCCACGGGTTCCTTCGAGATTTTCCTGTGGAGTTTTATTATGGGGTTTTTCAATTAATGAGTAAAATAAAGCTTGTGGTAAACTTAACTTGACGATACTTTTATGTTTTGTTCTACAATGTAAACTGCACACACTCACAGCCCAAACGTTCTTATCTAGTTAGTTGATAAAAACATACGTATTTCAAAATTTGTGTTTTGGTTATGGATGCATGTAATTTACGTTGTAGAACAAAAAAGTAAAAGTATCGTCAAGTTATGTTTACCACAAGCTTTATTTTACTCATTAATTGAAAAACCCCATTATAAAACCCCATAGGAAAATCTCGAAGGAACCTGCAGTGAATTACTCTTCCGGATTCTGACGTCATAGTTCCCCCACTCTATGGCCTGGTGAGTCAGGAAATTATTATTATTTTTTTAATCAAATAGCCTAAGACCACTCCATGAGGGGGATAACTTACATTGAGCAGAGTCAGTCACATGACTATTGCGCAAGGACAAATAGGCTTACTTGCAGATTATGTGACGAGTATAGTGAAGCGTGTGTAGCTTGTTAGTTTTTTTTGTTTGTTTTTAACTTCACTGTCCACACATCCATAGTCACCTGTTTTCATGGGTTTTTAGTCCTTTGCTGGTAATGCAACAGAATGCATTGTGGGATTGAGGACCACATGAGTGCATGTTGTAACTGCATGCAAAGCCTTTCTGTTAATAGGTAGTTGATTTGTCTTGCTGCTTAATCAGCCATTAAAGCCAGTGTCTTGATGAGTCGAGGGGTCACTTGAGTGCAATCTGCAGTACCCAATGATTCATTTGTGCTGGTTCATGGGTGGTAAACAGGGTTGATTTCCTGAAGTCCCTGTAAGGAGAATGTATTGCTGTATTGGATTCAGTTGCGTTGTTATTGAGATTTTATGTTGTTGTTATTGATATTTTGTAAATGTTTTTTGTATTGTTTTCCTATCCTCAGACAGATTAAGAGTGCTCATTGGCTGCTAATGATTAACCCAGTTTGCATCAATCTTGCTAGTGTCCTTCTGGTACCATGGGCTAGCAGTTAGCTTTCATGTACTTGCACGCACCAGCTGGCGGCATTCATTGTTTCTGTGCTATAATCCTGTTAGCTAGAACTGGTTTAAATGAAAGGGACTCTTTGAACTGGTCGAACATCAGACTTTTGTACCCGTCATGCAGCCTTCTGCTGTCAAGGCTCCTCAAGATTTGTGTCTTTTACCCACCCTTATGTCTTTCCAAATTTCTGTGCACCACAAAAGGAGAAATTTTGAATACTGTAGTTGTAAAAGGGGATGTAGGATGCAGTAGTGGTCCATACAACTCGTGCGTTAAGTCTTTAATTGGAATTAGGGCTGAACAATTAATTGCATTTGCGATAATATTGCGATATGAAAAAACACTTTTTCAATCGCAGAGGCTGTGATTACACTCGGTCACGTGACACGTGAGAGTAAAGCGGTGTGTTCGA